CTGACGCTAGTTCCGACTTACATACAGATTCAACTTAAGAACAAACCTACAGTCCCTATCTTGTACGTAACCCGGGGACTGCCTGTATATATAAAATTTATTTTTTTACTGACATAATTCTCTACCATGTCTCTTGTACCTTGTTTTATCAGACATGACTCATGTTATCACTTCATTTTCAGTAGGAAAGAGAACTGGTACATTTGTGCACATGCTATAACTCAGTAGAGGGTACCACATACTGACAAACGAACCAGTTCATAGAGTGACATTTGTGGTGGGACAAGAACCCATGTGTGCAGGGCTGAGGCAGTTTAGCTAAAGGAATAACTATGCTAGTAGAGAATGCTTTGCACAGTACATGCAATGCCTTAGAGCAGTGGTTTTCAACCTTTTTTCCTTTGTGGGCCCATAAAACATTTCAAATGGCAGTAAACTCTCTTAAATAAGAATGGTTTATTTTTATTTGACTTATACAGCACCATAAATGGAAGCATGGTGTTTTACAGGAACATGGGACACGGGGCTTTTACTACTAACTTCTTCGTCGAAGAGCTGCTTCATCATTCTTTAGCACTCTATTCAGGCATCGTAGGAGGTGGTGCATAGGCACCAGGAGGCGTGGTGCCTCAGAGAGCCATAGTTTCATTTTGGGAATCTCTAGCTGCTGGAGGACAATAACAGCCAACACAGATTTGTGAGGTGCAACACCACCCATTACTCTCCCTCGTGACCAGAAAGCTCTGTGGGTTTCAGTGTGGAGGAAAGAGCAGAGTCATGGCCTCCATCTACCTCCTCCATGGTTCCTCTCTGCTCCCAGGAGAAAGCTCCTGAAGAATAGCCTCTGTCCCTCACCCGGCCCCTCCCTCACCCCCCCGGGTTCAGGCAATCCACACTGGGCTCTGGCTCTATCATGACTACAGTTTTTTCCTTTTTTTGTGCCACAGTCTTGATATAATCAACGAATGGGTGCATTCAGGAGAATGATACCTATAGGCCTTACAAGGCATTAATTGTAATACTGTTTTCCAAAATAGATGAATGGGATAATTTCCTTTTTGTTTTTGTTCTGGTGAGACTTTATCTGAAGCTCTTTGGTTCTCTATTTGTTTCCCATCTAGTATGTGTAACAATCTTTCTTGCATCTTGTCCAAAATGGCATTGTGTTTTTTGTTGCTGTATCTCATCATCAACTTATTTCCACTTTGCTATTGTTATCACCCTTCAGTTTATTTTGACATTATGCTTTCTAAGTAGCTCCCTCTCTTTGAATTGGATTTCCTCAAATGTTATTAGCTTTGCATTTTTCAAAGTTTCACTTTGTTGTTTCTGTCCCACTTTTCTAATCTCTCAGGCTCCCTTTATGCTATGTTGTGTTGCTGTACACTCTGGTATCTCCAACACCTGCAGATTTAACTAATGTGAACATTATCCTCTCTTCCAGAGTGCTGATAAAAGAGGTTAAATAAAACCATGTCTAATACTGCTGCATGCAACAGCCCATTGGACACTTCTCAACATTATACACCAAGAACATAAAAACGGCCATACTGGGTCAGACCAAAGGTCCACCTAGCCCAGTATCCTGTCTGCCAACAGTGGCCAATATCAGATGCCCCATAGGGAGGGAACAACAGGTTATCTTCATGTGATCCCTCTCCTATCATCCATTTCCAGACAGAGGCTAGGGACACCATTCCGACTCATCCTAGCTAATAGCCATTGATGGACCTAACCTCCATGAATATATCAGCTCTTTTTTGAACCCTGTTAAAGTCCTAGTCTTCACCACATCCTCTGACAAGGAGTTCCACAGGATAACTGTGCACTGAGTGAAGAAAAACTTACTTTTTGTTTGTTTAAACCTGCTGTCTATTAATTTCATTTGGTTACCCCTAGTTCTTATATTGTGGAAATAAGTAAATAACTTTTCTTTATTCCCTTTTTCCATTCCAGTCATCATGATAGAGATCTCTATCATGTCCTCCCCTTAGTCTCCTCTTTTCTAAGGTGAAAAGTCCAAGTCTTTTTAATCTCTCTCCATATAGGACCCATTCCAAATCCCTAATCATTTTTCTTGTCTTTTTCTTAAACTTTTCCAATGCCAATATGTCTTTTTTGAGATGAGGTGACCACATCTATATGTTGTATTCAAGATGTGGACTTACCATGGTTTTTTATAGAAGCAATATATTCCTTTTTAAATGATTCCTAACATTCTGTTTGCTTTTTTGACTGCCACTGCACATTGAGTAAATATTTTCAGAGAACTATCCACAATGATTCGAAGATCTCTCTTGACTAGTTATAGCTAAATTAGTATTTATCGTATGTATAGTTGGGATTATTTTGTCCAATGTGCAATTACTTTAAATTTATCAGCATTAATTTTCATTTGCCATTTTGTTGCCCAATCACTTAGTTTGATGATATCTTTTTGAAGCTCTTCACAGTTGGCTTTGGTCTTCACTATCTTGAACAGTTTGGTATCATCTGCCAATTTTGCCCTCTCACTGTTTACCCCTTTCTCTAGATCATTTATAAGTAAGTTGAATAGGATCAGTCCCAGGACAGACTCTTGAGGCACCCCACTAGATACCTGTCTCCACTCTGAAAACTTATCATTTATTCCTATCCTAGGTTTCCTGTCTTTTAACCAGTTATCAGTTCATGAAAGGACCTTCCCTCTTATCACATGACAACTTACTTCACTTAAGAGCCATTGGTGAGGAACCGTATCAAAGGCTTTTTGGAAATCTAAGTACACTGGATTGGATCCCCCTTATCCACATGTTCAGGGCTCGACAAATCATGTAATCTACTCGCCCGTGGCAAGTAGATTACAAACCGGCATAGCTGGCGCCACACGATCTGCGCACGCGCAACACGATCTGTGTATGTGCAGCTTGCAGAACCACGCAGCTGGCGAGTGGGGCTCGCCACCGCTTGGCGAGCTCTGCACATGTTTGTTGATCCTCTCAAAGAACTCTAGTACATTAATAAGACATGATTTCCCTTTACAGAAACCATGTTGATTTTCCCTA